CAACTCTGGAACATGCAACATATCATTGTCCTTCTTCAGGGGTCCCTTTCAAATCTAGGATACTATATCTGTGTGTGTGTGAGAATCATATATATTTATCTATATCTATGGCTGGATGGCTCTTTGTCAGGAGGGCTTTGTTTTCTTGTACCGGTGAAGGGAGTTGGACTGGATGGCCTTAAGGCCACATTTCTCAACCTGGGGTTTGGGACCGCGCCGGGGGGGGGGGGGGGGGGGGTTGCAAGGGGGTGTCAGAAGGGTCACCAAAGACCACCAGAAAGCATAGTATTTTCTGTTGGTCATAGGGGTTCTGTGTTTGCCCCAATTCTGTTGGTGGTGGGGTTCAGAATGCTCCTTGATTGTAGGTGAACTATAAATCCCAGTAACTACAACTCCCAAATGTCAAGGTCTATTTCCCCAAAACACCATCTATGTTTATATTTGGGCATATGGAGTATTCATGCCAAGTTTGGTCCAGATATATCATTGTTTGAGTCCACAGTGCTCTCTGGATGTAGGTGAACTACAACTCCCAAACTCAAGGTCAATGCCCACCAAACCCTTCCAGTATTTTCTGTTAGTCGTGGGAGTCCTGTGTGCCAAGTTTCGTTCAATTCCATCATTGATGGAGTTCAGAATGCTCTTTGATTGTAGGTGATCTATAAATCCCAGCAACTACAACTCCCAAATGACAAAATCATAATTTTTGAGTGATGGTCACTCCTTGTGTTGAGAGACATTTTATTGCCAAATTTGGTGTGATTTCGGTCATTGGTTCTTTTGTTTTTAAGGAACTCATTATGGACAGAACATTTATATATATATATATATATATATATATATATATATATATATATATATAAGCGGGAGCCCCCAGTGGCGCAGTGGGTTAAAGCACTGAACTGCTGAGCTTGTTGATCGAAAGGTCACAGGTTCGATTCCGGGGAGCGGCATGAGCTTCCGCTGTCAGCCCTAGCTTCTGCCAACCTAGCAGTCCGAAAACATGCAAATGTGAGTAGATCAATAGGTACCGCTCCGGCGGGAAGGTAATGGCGCTCTATGCAGTCATGCCGGCCACATGACCTTGGAGGTGTCTACGGACAATGCCGGCTCTTCGGCTTAGAAATGGAGATGAGCACCACACCCCAGAGTCAGACATGACTGGACTTAATGTCAGGGGACTACCTTTACTTTTACCTATATAGATAAGCTAATTGAGATAGATAGATAGAATAGCGATTGAGTTTTAATTGAGTTATAGATAGCAACTGAGATATAGAAAAGTTAATTGAGTAAGTCATATAGACAGAAAGAAAGATAGAGAAGCTTATTGTGTCATAGATAGATATTGAGTTATTGAGCATTACTTCATCTCCAAAGCTAACCTTGAGCTATAGATAGGGAAAAAACTTGTTTTTTCTAACCATAGCATCTCAGGGTTAGGGTGAAAGGATCCCAGGATATTTTCTACCATTTGGGGAAGGGTTACCTCAGTAACTGAAGGAAAAAGAAAGAAAGATCATCTCTATGGTTTCACCAATTGACTGTTTTGTTTGTAACTTTGACAAACTGTGCCAAGTCTGCAAGGACTTTGAGAAGTAAATATTCTGTTTTGATGTTCCAAACCTGAAGTGGCCTCAGTTGCTGAGATTTTTTGAGCTTCTAAAGAAAGACACCCCCCCCCCCCCGCGGTCCGCCCAGACAAAGAGAGAAACACATCTTAGTTTTAATTTTATAGGATCTGGGTGTGACGGCACAGAAAGAATATAAATACTGTAAATAAATAGTTCATTTCTTGAAACTGAAGTTGCACAAGCTATGCATTTCTTGACGTTGAAGTCGCATTGAAGTTGTAAGAGCTGTGCAGTTTTTTGAGACTGAAGTTGCCAAGGGACAAACTTCCAACTTCTTTCCTCCAACTGTCAGTAGGAAAACAGAGCTGGGTTTGTAGCAGAGTTCCAAGGCTCACATGGATCTCCAAAACATAAGGGCTGCTGTTGTTATGCTGGTCAGCACATTTTGGTGTCTCAAATGTTACCCCTGTTTCTGGGTCTATTTGACCTGCTGGTTCTCAAAATGGCACCAGTTATCCCCTTTAAAAGGTAAAGGTTTCCCCTTGACATTAATTCTAGTCGTGTCCAACTCTGGGGGTTGGTGCTCATCTCCACTTCTAAACTGAAAAGCCGGCGTTGTCCGTAGACGCCTCCAAGGTCATGTGGCCAGTATGACTGCATGGAGTGCCATTACCCTCCTGCCGAAGCGGTATCTACTTTTTTTTTAATTGATAATTTTTATTGTGAGATTTTTTTCGTGACAATGAAAGAGGGGGAACAATCAGAGTGATAGTAAAGTGGGAAATTAAAAGAGTGATAACGTATGGGGAGGGTAAAAATAGAGCGATGGAGGTAGGGAGGGTTGGAACACCGGGGTGGAGGGATAAATAATAATAAAAAGAAAGTTGCTGACTTCCGGTTCAGTCCGCAGAAGTGCAGTCTACTCACATTTGCTTGTTTTTATTTATTTATTTATTTATTTCGGTTGCTTCTACCCCACCCTTCTCACCCCGGGTTGGGGGGGAGGGGACGGGACTCAGGGCGGCTTACACAAGCAAGGCACAATTCGATGCCCGCATTACATACAGCAAAAAAACAAAGCATCAGTTAACAACAGCAATTTTAGCATTAATAACAATGAACAGAACAGTAATTATAATCGGCAGAAAACAACCCTAAAACCAATAAAAGCAGGTAAAAACAGTAAGAGCAATACAAACCTCATTGCTGGTCAGCGTTTCACAGTCTCAGAGTTTAAATTCCAATTTCCATACCTTGTCGATCCTATCCATCTGGTTTCCATATTTAATTGTCAGGATGCCCAAAGCCCTGGTCCCATAGCCACGTCTTTACCTTCCTCCTGAAGGCAAGGAGGGATGTTGATGCCCTGATTTCCCCCGGGAGTGAGTTCCACAGGTGGGGGGCCACCACCGAGAAGGCCCTGCTCCTCGTCCCCACCAGCCTCACTTGTGATAGCGGTGGGGTCGAGAGCAGGGCCTCCCCGGGATGGGACGTAGAGGGAGATACATTCGGACAGATACGCTGGACCGGAACCGTAAAGGGTTTTGTAGGTCAAAACCAGCACCTTGAATTGTGCTCGGAACTGAACCGGCAGCCAGTGGAGCTGACACAGCAAGGGAGTGGTGTGTTCCCTGTATGTCGCTCCGGTTAGCAATCTGGCTGCCGCTCGCTGGACCAGTTGAAGTTTCCGAACAGTCTTCAAGGGCAACCCCACGTAGAGTGCGTTGCAGTAGTCTATACAGGATGTAACAAGAGCGTGGACCACTGTGGCCAGATCAGACTTCCTGAGGTATGGGCGCAACTGGTGCACAAGTTTTAACTGCGCAAAAGCTCTCCCGGCCACCGCTAGGTTGGCAGAAGCTGGGGTTAACAACAGGAGCTCATCCCACTCCCTGAATTTGAACCGCCAACCTTTCAATCAGCAAGTTCAGCAGCTCAGAAGTTTAACCTGGGGTTCCCCTGTAAGCTGTAGTTTTTGAGATTCAGAACATGTGCCAGCTTCCAGTCTCCATAGAAAACCAGGATAATCCTATCTAAGAAACTAGAGCTGATGTGATCCATCCAATGCAATTGTCTGAATCAGGCCTAACACCCAAAGACACCAAAACCTTTTTTTTTTTTTTTGTTGGGCTGTGTTGTTGCTATTTTTATATGATCCTCGGACCATTTCAGGCTCAGGAGAGGCCTGTTGATGAGCAAGAAGAAAAATTCTAAGGCTAAAGAGATTGCAAGTGAGGAGACTAAAAACATGGCTAAATGACCCTCTGTGATCCAAAGACTGCATTTTCAGACTTTTTTTCCCCCTCCAAAAAGCCTGAAAATCCAGGTAAAAGATTTAAGTCTGATAAAAACGAGGAGTAAAATAGGATTTCCTCTCTTTTGGCGAAACAAAAAAAGAGAGATCCCATGCTGTTAGCTGGAGCATATGCGCCATGGAGAAGGGGGAATGCAAATATTTATTTGTCGTGTCAGAGCAACCAGTCCATTATATTACATTTCTAACAGAACAAAGCAAACAAACAGACAAATACAAAACTTGTGAGTTTGGTAGTTGGTTAAATGTCCTTTGACCAGTATCTGGCCACTTGGAGTGCTTCCGGTGTTGCTGCAAGGAGGTCCTTCATGGTGCATGTAGCAGGGCTCAGTTTGCATTGCAGTAGGTGGTCAGTGGTTTGCTCTTCTCCACACTCGCATGTCGAGGATTCCACTTTGTAGCCCCATTTCTCAAGGTTGGCTCTGCATCTCGTGGTGCCAGGGCGCAGTCTGTTCAGTGCCTTCCAAGTCGCCCAGTCTTCTGTGTGCCCAGGAGGGAGTCTCTCATTTGGTATCAGCCATTGGTTGAGGTTCTGGGTTTGAGCCTGCCACTTTTGGACTCTCGCTTGCTGAGGTGTTCCAGCGAGTGTCTCTGTAGATCTTAGAAAACTTTGTCTAGATTTAAGTCGTTGACGTGCTGGCTGATACCCAAACAGGGGATGAGCTGGAGATGTCTCTGCCTTGGTCCTTTCACTATTGGCTGCTACTTCCCAGCGGATGTCAGGTGGTGCAATACCGGCTAAGCAGTGTAATTTCTCCAGTGGTGTAGGGTGCAGACACCCCGTGATAATGCGGCATGTCTCATTAAGAGCCACATCTACTGTTTTAGTGTGGTGAGATGTGTTCCACCAAATGGGGAATGCAAATGGGAATCAGGGTCATAAACACAGACAGGGAGAAGTATGGCAAGTTGTTCATTCTCCAACATAGTGATCCCCAAACCCTAGTCCTGCAGGTGTTTTGGGCTTCAGTTCCCGGCTGCCTTGGGTAATGATCAAGGGATTTGGGGAAACAAACTCCAAGACACTTGGAAGAATTTGAGAAAGTGTGGTTTGGGAGACCTTGGATGTTGGAGTGATGGAGGTGGTTATGATGGTTCCTTCCTTCTTGCAGGTGCCTCGGAAGGGAGCCACAGGATGGAGACGCAACCACGGGAGATGGAACTTCTCAGCAACAGCATTGCCGCCTATGCGCATATCCGAGGTGGGTGCTCATCTGGGAAGAGCGACAACCGAGCACACAATGCACAAGGCATTATCCATTTGGGTACCAAGCTTGAGTCCATTCATCCTCCTGGTGTCATACCCTATTTACTCTAATGCTCACCTTTCTTTGGGTGAAATTATCTTGCAAAAATTAGGATGCACATTAGATTTGATGAATACAGTAATCGTATTAGATTCAATGGCTCATGAGACTCGAGTTGATGTGGTACTCTGCATTCTGGCACCTGAAACCCAAGCAAAAGCCATCATTCCTCTCTTATGGCTCCTCTTTGTATTTTATGTATTTTTCCTTCTCACATCCCCAAAAAGTCTGCTTTAAGCATTTTCGCAGCTGGTCAGCAGCAGCTCTCCTTCTGCAGTAGATGGAATATTTGTTTTTCCAGACTTGGATGCCAGTCCGAGCCCTATTGAAAGGTCTCCAAAAGAGGAGTTTTCCAGCACTCTCCCTGGCAGTCAAGAGTGGGAAGGGTCCCCCAAAGGGCATCTAGCCCATCCCATTTCTGCCAGAGAGGAATTCTTGCTCCTAGAAGATGCCCATCCAAAGGAGGTGGGTCCAAGAGTGATTGGAAGGGTTCCCCAAAGGGCATCTAGCCCAGCCCATTTCTACCACAGAGGAATACTTACTCCTAGAAGATGCCCATCCAAAGGAGGTGGATCCAAGAGTAATTGGAAGGGTCTCCCAAAGGGCATCTAGTCCAGACCCATTGTGCCAGGCCAGGCAGGAATTCACACTCCTGGAAAACGCCCATCCAACCTCCACAGAAAGGCATTGAAAGGTGGGGTCCACCACTTTCTAAGAGTGTCCATTCCCTGCCCCTTCCTTCAGCCACGATCTGCCTCCTGGCTCCATTTCTGCCCATCTCAGTGAATTTTAACCTGCATTTTAATTCTGCATTGGAGCCCCCGGTAACACAATGGGTTAAACCCTTGTGCCAGCAGGACAGGTCGGCTGACAGGTCGGAGGTTGGAATCTAGGGAAGAGCGCGGATGAGCTCCCTCTGTCAACTTTAGCTCCTCATGCGGGGACATGAGAGAAGCCTCCCACACAGATGGTAAAATATCAAAAACATCTGGGCATCCCCTGGGCAACGTCCTTGAAGACGGCCAATTCTCTCACACCAGAAGCGACTTGGAGTTCCTCGAGTCACTTCTGACACGAAAAAGAATTCTGTGTTAGCCATTTCATATGCGACTCATGTCTAACTGTTTCTAATAATATATGTTTAATGTCTACACACCCAAGTTTATTGTCTAATGGGTTTATTCCCCATCTCAACTTTCAATTCTTTCCAAAGAATATACAATAATAGCAATAAACTTATATTGCTTTATTGTATATTCTTTTGTATTATTTCTGATGTTGCCTGTTACTTTGTAAGGCATTCAATGTTTACCTGTTTTGTGCTGTAAACCGTCCTAAGTCCCTTTTGGGAGAGATGTGCCATCTAGAAACAAAGTTTTATTATTATATTATTATTTTAATCGAGTTTTATCTCTTTGTTTTAATGATGTTGTACCCTGTCTCAAGTCACAAGGGGGGGGGGGGGGGGGGGGGTTAATAATTACATTATTATTATTATTATTATTATTATTTTACTGACACGAAAACACACTATGCCACAGCAAACGAGATCTATATGCTGGATTCTGTATTTGATTACATTATTATTATTATTATTATTATTATTATTATTATTATTATTATTTTACTGACACAAAAACACAGTATGCCACAGCAAACGAGATCTATATGCTGGATTCTGTATTTGATTACATTATTATTATTATTATTATTATTTTACTGACACAAAAACACAGTATGCCACAGCAAACGAGATCTATATGCTGGATTCTGTATTTGATTACATCATCATCATTATTATTATTATTATTATTATTTTACTGACACAAAAACACAGTATGCCACAGCAAACGAGATCTATATGCTGGATTCTGTATTTGATTACATTATTATTATTATTATTATTATTATTATTATTATTATTAGTATTATTTTACTGACACAAAAACACAGTATGCCACAGCAAACGAGATCTATATGCTGGATTCCGTATTTGATTACATCATCATTATTATTATTATTATTATTATTATTATTATTATTATTATTATTTGATACACAACAAGATTAGTACACAGCAAACAAGATCACAATGCTGGATCTTGTATTTGATTACACGTCGGACACTTCCCAAGTGTCTAGGACTGTGTAAAGTGCCCAACGTGTGGTCAAATACAAAAGCCAGCATAGTGATCTTGTTTACTATGTACTAATCTTGTTGTTGTTGTTGTTGTTGTTGTTACAATGTTACACTCTGTAACAAAATTTTAAAAAACCTGTTCCTGGTTTGAAAGTGTTATTTCCTGTTTAATTTTACACTCCTTACTTTGAAAGTAGTTGTTCTACTCCAGAAACTTTGTTTTTGTGGCTGCCACAAACTAGGTTGAATTGGTTGAGACTCTATGGGATAGTCATTGAAAAACTACAGCAAAATGTTCTGCAGGATATCCCTCCTGCAAAAACAAAGTTTTGACAGTTTAATCAACTTTCCCCATGTTTTTATGATAGAACCAATTGGGAAATGACATTGATTATCCAGGAACAAAAATCATGCCATATAGTGTTATTTACTTATTTATTATCACCATCATCATCAGCTTCCTCTCTGTCCCCGTAGACCACCCAGAAAGCTTTGGCCTCTACTTCGTACTGGGCGTCTGTTTTGGTCTGGTCTTGACCCTTTGCCTGCTGGTCATCCACATCTCCTGGCAGCCCCAGGCCCTCCCTCCCAGGCCCAGGAAGAAGCAGCTGCAGGACTTAAGCGAGGAAGACGATGAGGAAGACGATGAGGAGGAGGAAGAGGAAGAGGAGGAGGACACCGTTGACGCTGAGTCGTCCCAACCGGTGCTAGCCTTGACGGAGCTTCCCTCAGAGCCTCAGGCAACCCCTCCAGACGGGATGACCATCAATGTTTTCGCTTCTGCCGAGGAACTGGAAAGGGCTCAGCGGCTGGAGGAGCGGGAGCGGATCCTGAGGGAGATCTGGCGCAATGGGCAGCCAGACATCTTGGGCTCTGGCACTGGGACCCTTGGGAGGGTCCACTACTATTGACCTCCAGTAGACAAATGGATGGGTGGGCTCGTGTCTGCACAGCATCCCTCTCTTCGTTTTGGTTTTGGGGGGCGGTTTTGTACCCACGTCCCAAATATTGGCCAAATAGCAACTCAAGGGTTGCTGATTTTATGAGAAGTCAAAGGCAAAGTGATCGGTTTACATATTTGAAAGGCTGTCTTAAGGAAGAGGGAGTAGGCTTGTTTTCTGCTGCCCTGGAGACTAGGACTCAGTGGTGCCGGGGGTTCAAATGACAGAGAAGGAGATCCCACCTGAAAATTAGAAAGAACTTCTTAGATCTGTTCAACAGTGGAACTCTCTGCCTCAGTGTCCATTGGGGGCTTCTTCCTTGGAGGCTTTTAAAAGAGGCTGGTGGTCATCTTTTGGGGGTACTTTGATTATACTTTTCCTGCATAGAAGAAGCAGGTTGGACTGGATGGCCCTTGGGGTCTCTTTCAACTCTAGAAGCCTTTGATTCTATAGCCTTATTTCTTCACAAACCTGCAAACATCTACGTATGAAGCTGGATGGACCCCTTTTGGGAGGGCTTGGATGGTGCTTTTCCTGCCTGGCAGAAAGGGGTTGGAGTGGTTGACCTCTTGGGGTCTCTTCCAACTCTATTATTCAATGATTCAGTTGTTCTACTTGCCACAATAGACGCAAGCAGCAAAAGGCTCAACGATATTCAAACTCATTAAGTGACCAGCACCAAGTTAAAACTCTCAAAGTGTTGTTATTTTGCGGAGAAAGCAGAAAAGTTTGTTTGCAACAATGGACACAATGCTCAAGTGGCCAAAGGATCCACAACATTCAAACTCATTAAGTGACCAGCACCCAGTTAAAACTCTTGGAGAGCGGGTAGCCAATACTAAAGCGGTGCCAAGCGATGCCTCATCCGTGGAGAGCAAACCTTGCAAGGAAATGGTGCTATGACCCCAACTGCTTTGTGGACCACAAAATACATTGGGATCCTCAACAAAGCAAATGGGCAGTTGGCAGACTTGACCCGTAGCTTCTTTTACTCCAATTTGGCCCTTAAATGGGTTTCCTTCTGTGCCCAGATGCCACCCATTTGGAGAAGGGATTTTTGGAGGGGGGGGGGGGGCTTTATATTTTCTCATTGCCTTCAGGTATCTTGTGGTTTACACCAGGAAAATAATAATCCATCGTGTATAAGTGTGCCTTATTCTTTTTATACATGCATATAAAAACCAGAGTCATTCCAGTTTGTTATGTTTTGCCGTTTGGCCTTTCAGCTGACTTTTCGCACAAACTCTTCAAACAGGGAAGGAGCCAAGGGGCATCCCCAGATAACTATGCTCTCCAACCCTCCTGATTTGACCAAAATAATCCTTTGGCTATGCAACGTTTGCAGCTGCTTTGAAAAAGTACCAGTTGCTCTCTTTCCAGTTCCCCGCTTTATCCCCAGCTGACCCCAGTGGCCGCAAACCGGGTTCAAAGGAGTTGTGAATGGGGAGAGTTTGTTTTTGTTTGAGTCCTTTTTCCATTGGAGTCAAGCAAAAGCAAACTGCTGTATGCTCTCTTTGCTGGTTTGTTCTTCCTCATTGGTCCCTCTGGCCTTCTTGACTGCAACAGAGCTACCTGACCAATGCAAAATGTTGGAGAACATGAACTATGAGTGGATTTTTTGAGAGAGAGACTTGCAATGCAATGCATGTCAAGGATATATTTGCATTCTTCCACATCCAAGTCTCCCCTCCCTACTCCATACAACTCCCCCCAAAACTGAGATTTTTCTTTCATATTTCCTTCAATATTTCTTTTAATATTTTCTTTAATATTTCTTTTAATATTTTCTTCAATATTTCTTTTAATATTTTCTTTAATATTTTCTTTAATATTTCTTTTAATATTTTCTTTAATATTTCCTTTAAATTTTTGTTTAACATTTCTTTTAATATTTTCTTTAATATTTCCTCTAAGATTTCTTTTAAGATTTCCTCTAATGTTTCCTCTTACTATTTCCTTTACTAATTCTTTTAATATTTCCTTTCATATTTTCTTCAATATTGCTTTCAATTTTTATTATTATTTAACATTTCTTTTAATATTTTCTTTAACTTTTTCTTTAAGATTTCCTCTAATATTTTCTTTTAAGATTTCCTCTAATGTTTCCTTTCATATTTCTTTTGATATTTCCTTTAATATTTTCTTTAATATTGCTCTCAATTTTTTCTTTAATATTCCCTGTAATATTTTCTTTTAGGATTTCCTCTAATATTTCCTTTCATATTTCCTTTAATCTTTCTTTTGATATTTCCTTTAATATTTTCTTTAATATTGCTCTCAATTTTTTCTTTAATATTTCCTCTAATATTTTCTTTTAAGATTTCCTCTAATGTTTCCTTTCATATTTCCTTTCATATTTCTTTTGATATTTCCTTTAATATTTTCTTTATTATTGCTTTTCATTTTTCCTTTCATATTTCCTCTAATATTTTCTTTTAGGATTTCCTCTAATGTTTCCACTTAATATTTCTTTTAATACTTCCTTCAGTATTTTCTTGAATATTGCCTTTAATTTTTTTCTTTAATTTTTGTTTAACATTTCTTTTAATATTTTGAGTATTTCTTTTAATATTTTCTTTTAAAATTTCCTCTGTTTCCTCTTAACATTTCTTTAATATTTATTTTACTATTTTCTTTAAAAAAATCTTTAATATTTCTCTAATATTTTCTTTTAATATTTCCTTTAACATTTTCTTTAATATTGCCTTCAATTTTTCTTTGGTTTTTTTGTTTCACATTTATTTTACTATTTTCTTTAATTTTTTTCTAATATTTTCTTTTAAGATTCTAATGTTTCCTTTCATATTTCCTTTAATATTTCTTTTGATATTTCCTTTCATATTTTATTTAATATTACTTTTCATTTTTCCTTTCATATTACCTCTAATATTTTCTTTTAGGATGTCCTCTAATGTTTCCACTTAATATTTCTTTTAATACTTCCTTTAATATTTTCTTTAATATTGCCTTTAATTTTTTTCTTTAATTTTTGTTTAACATTTCTTTTAATATTTTTTGAATATTTCTTTTAATATTTTCTTTTAAAATTTCCTCTGTTTCCTCTTAACATTTCCTTTCATATTTCTTTTACTATTTTCTTTAATTTTTTTTCTTTAATATTTCTCTAATATTTTCTTTTAGTATTTCCTTTAACATTTTCTTTCATTTTTCTTTAGTTTTTTTGTTTCACATTTATTTTACTATTTTCTTTAATTTTTTTCTAATATTTTCTTTTAAGATTTCCTCTAACATTTCCTCTTAATATTTCTTTTAATATTTCATTTAATGTTTTCTCTTATATTTCCTTTAATATTTATTTTAATATTTCCCCTAATATTTTCTTTAATATTGCCTTCAATGTTTCCTTTAATATTTGCTTTGCTGTGGTTATTGGGGAGGGGGGGGTGCCTCGGTTCACCCCATTCATAGCCCTTTGTTTCTGGGAACCCTCCTCACCCTTCTGTGGGAAAATAAGGCCTTTCCCAGGCCCTCCTTCTCTCTCTTTCTCCAAATTCCCTCGGACTTAATCTTGCAAAGGCGGGAGGTCACAAAAGGAAGCCAAAAGAGAGAGAAAAGCTTGGCTTCCTGCCTTCCCCAAAATCACTTTCCCTGGAGAACCTATTTGCAGAGAGTGTTGCTCAAGGTGGGAATGATGGGTGTCCTTTTTGCTAGGGAAGAGAGGCCAAAAGTAAAGAGAAATACTAGAAAAACATATTCCTTCCTCCCCTGAAACCTTCCTGGAGCTTTGCATCAAATGCTTAAGAGTCTGCTTTGCAATTAAGGGAAGGAATTAACTCCCTTTCTTCAAGGCAGAAGCATCTTGCTGAAGGGGGGAGGATAGTATTTCTGACGGCTTTTGAGCCCCTCTTCTCCAATGCGAAAGGGTCATGGACCAAAGCTTTTTCATTAAGTACAATCCTAATTTTTACTGGAAGGGTTTTTTTTTCTTTTTCAGAGCTGCAAACACAATTGCTCTTGTTGCTGTTGTTGTTGTTGTTGTTGTTGTTGTTGTTGTTGTGTGCTTTCTAATCATTTCCAGGTTATGGCGACTCGAAGGCGAATGCATGGCAGGGATTTCTTGGCAAGGTTTGCCTCGGCCTCTGTCTGAGGCTGAGAGAGTGTGGCTTGCCTTTGCACTCAAGGATAACATCATTTAGCTTACCAGGAAAAAAATTGGCAGGAAAATCTAGTAGTAAGCTGGAATTGTGAGGGGGGGGGGGGGGAGCGGAAGGGAAGGGAAAGGAAAGGAAGGAGGGGGAAGGGGGAGGGGGGAAGAGAGGAAGGGAAGAGGAAGGGGGAGGAAGGAAAGAGGAGAAAGGGAAGGGGAGGAAGGAAGGAAAGGGAAGGAGAAAGGGGAAAAAGAGAAAAGGTGGGAGAGGGGGAAGGAAGGAAGGAAGGAAGGAAGGAAGGAAGGAAGGAAGGAAGGAAGGAAGGGGGAAAGAAGAGGAAAAAGAAAGGAGGGAAGAGGAAAGGAGGAAGGGAAAGGAAGGGATGGAAGGAAGGGAAGATGAAAGGAGGGAAGGAAGGGAAAAGAGAAAGGAAGGAAAGAGAAAAGGAGAGAAGGAAGGAAAGAGGAAAGGGAAAGGAAGGAAAGGGATGGAAGGAAGGGAAGAGGAAAGGAAGGAAGGAAGGGGAAGAGAAAAGGAGAGAAGGAAAGAAAGGGAAGGAAAAGGAAGATGGAAAGAGAAAGGAATGGAAGAGAAAAGAACTTTCTGACTGTGAGGAAGTTGAGGAAGAACTTCCTGACTTTGAGAGCCGTTCAGCAGTGGAACTCTCTGCCCCGGAGTGTGGTGGAGGCTCCTTCTTTGGAAGCTTTTAAACAGAGGCTGGGTGGCCATCTGTCAGGGGTGATTTGAATGCAATATTCCTGCTTCTTGGCAGGGGGTTGGACTAGATGGCCCATGTGGTCTCTTCCAGCTCTTTGATTCTAAGGAAGGAAGGAAGGAAGGAAGGAAGGAAGGAAGGAGGGGAAAGGAAGAAAAGGGATGGGAGGAAGGGGAAAGGGAAGGGAAGAGAAAAGGAGAGAAGGAAGGAAGGAAAGAGGGAAGGAAAAGGAAGGAAGGGGAAAAGAGAAAGGAAGGGAAGAGGAAAGGAGGGAAGGAAGGGAAGAGGAAGGAAGGGGGAAAGAAAGGAAGGGAAGAGTAAAGGAGGGAAGGAACGAAAGAGGGAAAGAAAGGAAAGAGGGATTGAAGGAAAGAAGAGGGAAAGAGAAAAGAAGGGAAGAAGAAAGGAGGGAGGGAAGGAAGGAAGGTAGTGGGGTTTTTCTTTTTGGTTTTCAAATGGTGGGGGTCAGAAGAGCCGTAATTGAATTTGGCACTGCATCCAAAGAAGTGGCTTCCTATCCAGGAAAACCAAATTCCCAATGCTTGATCCTCCTTTTTTGAGGGGCCCCTTTGTCTTGATATCCTTTGATGTCACTACTGTTGCTTTCCAGAGTGGGGGGACTGACGCAGACCAGGGGTTCCTCCTGCAAAGGCCTTTCTTCCTTTCGTCTCTCTTTCTCTCCCTCCTCTTCCTGGCCCCCATCCCTCCATCCTCCCCCAGAGCAGCCTGATAAAAATAGCCCTGGCTTCCTCTCCGCAGAGCCAGATGTTTGCCAGATGTTTCCCTACAGGCCAAGGGGCCGGTGTCTGGAATGCAAGGGGGGGGGGGGAGGCTCCAGGAGAATGAGCATATATTTTGCAAGGGAGGGCGGGGAGAGAGTGACTTAAGGGCCTGCTTTGCTCCCTCCTCCAATGCATCTACATTGCGAATGAATGCAGTCTGTGACCACTTTAATAGAAAAGCATGAGAGTCATAGTTTTACAAGTGTCCTATAGCATTGAGCTGTGGCAAAGTATTGTCAAACTATTGTCGAAGGCTTTCATGGCTGGAATCACTGGGTTGCTGTGAATTTTCCAAGCCGTATGGCTATGTTCCGGAAGCATTCTCTCCTGACGTTTTGCCTGCATCTGTGGCAGGCATCCTCAGAGGTTGTGAGGTGTGTTGAAAACTAGGAAAATCGGGTTTATATGTCTGTGAAGCCCCCGGTGGCACAGTGGGCTAAACCGCTGAGTTGCTGCCAAAAGTTTGCTGGTTCAAATCCAGGGAGTGGGGTGAGCTCCCGTTGTTAGCCCCAGCTTCTACCAACCTAGCAGTTCAAAAACATGCAAGTGGGAGTAGGTAGCACTCCAGCAGGAAGGTAAGGGCGCTCCA